ATTTTCTCTTTGCCAGTGAAGTTTTTCATCACAATGCAAAATCCAGCCAAATCCCTTTTAACGTGCTTCCAAATTTAGTCCAGTCATTCATTCATCTGTCTAGATAAAACGTTTCTATTTATTATATCGAAAAGGCGAGGGCATTGGAGATACTTGGCAATTTTTATCTGGGCTTTTGTCTGCAAGAAGCTTAATTTTTTTCATTTTTTACATTTGATCATTGGTAATTGTGTGTATGCCAGACTTTTATTTTGACATTTGAATTTCACAGGTTTCTGTTTTTATGTGTTATTAGTAATATAAATATGTTTGTATGTATATGTTTTGCTTCTTAATCGCCCACTCTGGTGTTTATTTTAGCTTAGTAAATCATATTTTAATTTTTTTTAAATACATATATGGAAGCTTAACCATGTTCTACAGCAGATATAGCATTAAAGCAAAAAAAATGATTTATGATTTTTTCCTACATTTTTTTGTCTGTTATATTTCTGTATCTATTTGCCTAATTTTTGTTACAATTTTTTTATCTTCATTAAAAAGGCTCGGCTTTTCGTAAAACAATATCTGTCTACATTTTACCAACTCAGGTAATCTCTAAATGGTTCATGCATTATTTGATGTATTTTTGTTTCATAATTTAAAAAAAAAAAACAATTCTCGAAATACATATATAACCCTTCAACTCTTCCCTGAATTTTTTTTTTAATTTATTTAAAGTGATATTCGTATTATCTAATAGAAACTTAATTTTAATTTTAATTTTTTTTATTTATACTTTATAATGTTTTTTGTATTTTTGTGGCAACTTTTTACGCGATGCGATTCCAGTGAGCTATGGGTTCATAAATTTATCTGTAACATTTGGCATAAGAGGCCACTAAAATCTAATTTCTGGCGACAGTTGATCCACACAGCCAAGGTTTGTCACTCCGTATCTCTTGATTTGAGAAATTATTTCACTGTTCATCGTTCCAACGGCTGCGATATTCGCCATTCCCAACGCATAGAGTCTAAAAATATATATAGCCCGGACGTAGCGCCAAGTGATTACCACCTGTTCCTGTCCATGGCGAATGCCCTTGGTGGTGTGAAGTTGAACTCAAAAGAGGCTTGTGAAAAGTGGCTGTCCGAATTCTTCGCAAATAAGGAGGGGGGCTTTTACGAGGAAGGTATTATGAAGTTGCCGTCTAGATGGAAACAGATCATCGAACAAAACGGCGCATATTTTAACTAAATCTGATCACTATAACACTTTTTATAAAGCATTGAATGAAGAGCAAAAAGGCGGAAGGGAGATATTTGACAACCTTATATAACAACAAATTTTCTACGCCAACTCCTCAGATATTGTCACCGACCAAGCCCTTGTACCATATGGCAAGACGGGAATGATGACTTCTAGAGTTTGTTCTTTGTTCGTCGAGAGAGCACACAGTCCAAATTAGCGCCTTTTGCCAAGAATGGTTCTTTGTTGTATTCAAAAACTAACAATGTTGTTGTTGTGCTGGTTACAAGACTACGATTACAAGTTATGGCTGTTTGTTTGATGACAGGAGATATTTCGTCTTGCTCTTGTTCCCTAGCACACCCATAAGTGTATGGTCCTTTTCCGGCACAGGGGGGGGAGCGCCCTCACTGCGCAGTTGTTGAAGATTTTAGTCTTTCTCACAATACGCTCTATAGGATATGGGATATTTAAAAAGCTTATCCCACAGTAATTGGCGCAGAATGTCTAATCGTTGCTGTTGTGAATTATAAGGTTCCAATCGTCTGGGAAACTTTCATCCGTGTCTGTGTGCAGCCGCTAGATCACCTCTTTGAGTCCTATAAGTGTTGAAAGCTTAGGACAAAGCTTCAAAAAGCTTAAAGCACAAAAAGAAAATACGCTAAGAAGAAAATCCATTACCATTCCAATTTTCTAAAATCTCTGCTAGAGCTTTTAACCAACAAAAAATTGAGTCTGCTTGTGTGACAATTAGTAATTGCCAAGTTCATTGAAAGTTTTTACAACGCCCTGCTTACATAAATTTATTTTTATCAAAACACCTGCGTATATATATATTCAGTTTGCTAAGCAACGGCAAAGCCTTTAACAGCGTTCCAACCGGCACGTGTACATATGTACAGTAAATACTCGACTGAATGCACAACTACCGGAATTCCTTATGACAAAAATGTAGTTATGTGACGAAATAAATAAAACAAAACAAAGACAATAACAAATATTGCCATACTTTACACACTCAAGAGCCTAAAGCAAATATTCAAAATATTATCGCCTCACTGTATGAGAAAGATATTCATGCAGTTCATATCTCCAAAAAAGCTAAATTTAAGTTATTAACTGTAAGTATATACATGCAAACATTCTAGCAAATAAGCAGGTCTTTACACCTTTTTTTTTTGCAATAAATTAACATTTTATCTAGCAGTGAAAAAAACCAATGCTGCCAGATGCATTTAGCAAAAAAAAATGGTAAGTTTTGCGGTACGATATCTCAGCGTAGGAAATCAAGGAACGCATTCATGGTATTACGAAGAAAAATGTTGGATGTCGCTTTTACAGATACTCGGTATATATTAACTTTAAAAATACAGGGTTGCCCATTTCATGGATTAAAATTACAGGGTTATATTTTGATGTTTGTCAAACTTTACCGTTAAACTTAACATGTTATGTTTTAGTTGAAAGTCAGACACCTGGATAATGGATCGCCTGAAAACCGCACAATGCGTTAAACCTACTGCAAAGGGTGGTTCGTGATCACATTTCGTATTTCAATGAAAACGTCTACGGCAAGACTATCATTGTCAATTGAGTGCATCATGGTCATATGCAAACGGAGGTAATGCCAAGTTAAAACTATCCAATAAGAAAGCCATTTCATGAAAAAAAAAACATCCTAAATGCATTTTATTCATGTTTAATATCGAAACCGCAAAATGCATAACCCTGTAATACATACAAAAAAAAATCGAAAAGTTACCGACCGATTGTCTTGAAATTTTGTCAGATAGTTTCTATGGGTACTGGAAAGGTTAGTCAGCTTTTTCGCGATGTGCACCAGGAACCGAATAATCGAAAATACTCTCCTTATGGTTCGATTTTTTCGGCTACTCTACTCTTCGGGAAATTGACCTGTGACTGACCAAGCGAAAAAAATTAACCGTAGATTTACTTTAAATTCCGTACACAGGTGGATTTTTACGGTTCTTTTTAGTTAAATTTTTGGATGTTACCCCTAAACGGATTACCCTACTTCTTGGAAATGGACCAGAGACCTGGAAACACGTTTGATTGGCTCAAAATATGAAAGAGATCACATACAGATTGACAAATTTTTTTATGACTTTGATCACCCATAGATTGCACGTAGGTATAATCGTCTCGTACTGTCAATATCCGGCGACTGCGCGTTACAAGTTATTTTTACTTCTGTTCAACTTGAGTGTGAATAGATAGATCCCAATTGACTTTGAGCACAAGCACAAATACGTAGCTATAAAATAAATATATAATAAAAAAAATTATATTTTGTACTGTAAGTTGCTTAAATGCAGTTCTTATTATCCTTCTTTGCAATATCAATTATAATGAAAATCTGACAAAATAAATCAAAAACAACAAAAATTATGGAAGTTATTATGACATATGTTAAACTATAAAAAAATATATATTTATATTGAAGCTGCCTGTAAAATTGAAAAAATTAAATAGCTGGCAACCCTATCGGCGCCCATATACTTTTATTCAGAACTTTCCATAAAGTGTAAGTGTTTTAAAAACGAGTTAGTTTGCTATAAAAATTTGGGCTTTAAAGGTGATACTTTTAAAGTAGTTTCGCTGAAGTTTTATCCCGAGTTTGGTCATATTTTTTATTATAAAATTAAAAATTAATTATAAAACATTCACGGATATTCCAACAAGTAACTTGAACAATTTTTAATCGCTTTCTTTCGTTTAAAGTAAAGAAATTATCAAATAAATTAAATAAAATAAATAAATTATCAAAAACCAGGAACGTCCAACTCAAAGTGCTACAGAATTATGTGAAGACCGTTATCATAATAAGTTCCCTAGAATCTGTGCATAAATTGTCCATTCTTTGTGATTCTGTTTGCTCCAGAATCAATGTTATGCCTCACATCTTTAGAATTCATACAACTTTTCTGAATAATTTTAAAACCAGCACTTGAAACCACGTTATCTTCGTGCTGGGGGTGACACCTAAAGCACGTAGCGAATTTCCAAAAGAAGTGAGCCTAAATTTCTCCAAAAAAAAATTTTATCATGTCTACATTCTTGTTCTAACGAAGATAATAATAAATTTTATATTCACGGTTATTTGTATTCTTAAACATTTTTTTAATTTTCGTTCTCATTCATTTGTAAAATATTTGCAAAGTCATGATCTCATGACACATTTTTTTCGCTAAGAAAACGTGAGAGTGTCAAATAATAAGCAAATATATATATATGATGTCATTTATATTTTAACCCCTTGAGATGCAAGAGAAGATATAGCTCCACCAAAAAAGCACATGTCGCAGGTGGAAAGCTTCCCTCTAAAATTGCCTTAAGCCTAATTATAGAGCAAAACCAACTTAAGGTGAGGTGAAACTAAACAAAAACTGTACCTTCGATTTGAAAATTAGCTACTTTGCCAAATTCTAAAAATCAGTAGTACAAGAAGAAAAGGCTGATATGCAAACAGTGAACTTTCATTTGAAAACAAATTCTACAACAGAGAGTAGATTCGAAAACGTATTTACCAGCTTTCCCCTTGCATAGTCTGACCGCATCTTAAGCAATGCAAATCTAAAAACATGAGCAAATAATACATAGACAAACAAAGACAAAAATATCTTATCCAAAAATTAAAAAAAAACCTAAATCAAAACGCGTGCGGGGTGTTTACTCAGCCTCCTCTTTTCGCACTATAAAATCAAGTGTTGAAATTCTAAGAAATCAGTGCAAGTCACCCAAGCAACCAAGCTACACCAAGCTAAGAGAAAAACACTTCACTCCACGACGACGAATCCCAAAGGTCGCAGAAGAAGAAAACTCCAGAGAAAATGGCGAAATTCGGTTTGTTATTTACCACCCTCCTAGCAATCGCCATTGCAATAAAAGCCGAGAGTAAGTATTGATAATAATTTCCAATTTATGCCCAGCGGTTTCTTAATCGGTACACCAACCACCAACCAATAGGTGATCCGCATGATTTCTTCTCACAAAGGCTAGGTCAGAGCATGTTACGCACCATGCTGGATAACGGTATGGCCACGGATAATTCCGCAGTCCCTGCGGACGAGCTTAATCCGAATTTTTGGCGCAAATCGGCGAATGATGAAATACAAAAACGTCTGGCCGATAAATTAAACACCAACAAAGCAAAGAATGTCATCTTCTTCCTAGGCGATGGTATGTCGTTGAGCACAATTACAGCGGCGCGTATACTCAAAGGCCAGCGTCAGGGAAATCCAGGCGAGGAGTCCCAACTGAGCTTCGAGAAGTTTCCATATACCGGTTTGAGCAGGGTGGGTTGCCGAAAAATGTTGTATTCTTATACAGACAGAGCAATACAATTTATTTATGTTTTCCATTTATATTTTTTGTTTTTCTATTTCTTACAACTCATTTCTTTAGACGTACTGCACGAACGCCCAAGTAGCGGATTCTGCCTGCACTTCCACTGCTTACCTCACAGGGGTTAAAACTAACATTCTCTCTCTGGGCGTTGGTCCCAATGTTAACTATAATGACTGCGAGGCATCCATGGACCCCGCCAATGATCTTACCTCACTTTACGATTGGGCTCAGGCTGCTGGCAAATCCACTGGTTTCATCACCACAACCACACTTACTCACGCAAGTCCGACTGGCGGTTATGCGCACGTCTCGAACCGTATGTGGGAGTGTGATACGGATGTACGCACATATCTACAAGATAGTTACACATCAGATTGCAAAGACATTGCCACACAGTTGATCACCGAAGAGCCTGGACGCAAATTGGATTTCATTATGGGCGGTGGAGCGGGAAAGTTCTTGCCAAAAACAATGATTGATCCATTCGGAAACCCCGGTGAGCGATCAGATGGTAAGAATTTACTCTCAGAGTGGCAACGCAGACATCCCGGCGGCCTCTTCGTTAGCAGCCGCAAACAAATGGAGGCAATCAACCTGGAACAGACCACCAGCGTTATGGGTATTTTCCAATCGAAACTAATGAATTTCCATCAACATGCCACCGAGAGTGAGCCCACTTTATCTGAAATGACCGAAACTGGCATTAAGTTTTTGAGCAAGGACGATGATGGGTTCTTCATTTTCATTGAGGGTGGTCTTATTGATTATGGTAATCACTACAATAAACCCGGGCTCAGTTTGGACGAAACATTGGAATTTGAGAGGGCCATAGAATTGGCACGCAACCTCACCGATCCGGAAGACACACTCATCGTCGTCACCGCTGATCATGCGCATCCACTCAGCATCTCCGGTTATCCCGAGCGTGGCAATAATATTCTGGATGTCAATGAAATCGGCTTTGATACAAACGGTGTACATTATGCTACACTCAACTATGCCGCTGGTCCTGAACAATACCTGGATGAGAGTGGCAACCGCATTGAGTTGAAGGGTCAATTTGGTAGTCCAGATTTCATATTCCCCAGCTATATTTCCTCAGATTCGGGTGTACATTCGGGCGATGATGTCGGCGTATTTGCCTCCGGTCCCTGGGAGCATCTCTTCCGTGGTGTACTACAACAAAATACTCTGCCACACCTGATGGCTTATGCCGCTTGTATTGGTGATGGCGCCAAGTCCTGCGACTAAGTGCTCAGCTTTCTGAATGTGCTGAATGGTATGTCCGTCCGTAACATACTTCAAATTAGCATGCATTTCATACATATATACGCAACCACCGTCCATTTATCACAGCCGTCCAACGAGCAACACGTCTAATCATATACATAAGTCTTTATGGATACTTACGTATATAAAAATATCTTAAGTACTCGCGTGCAGAGTGTTATTTATGAATAGCGATAACACTTCTTTATATATGTGCATATGTATGAGTGTATGAAATATGTCTTAATAAAAAACTTAAGAATATTAACACTTTTAACTTTACTTTGCCTGCCTTCGGTCTCGAGAAATGTGTGAAGAATATGTGGTTAGGGTTAATGGGTTAGTAAAACTCGAGTGGTGATCTCAGTCATGGATTTGAACTTCACTGAAAACCTGTTTGTAATCATAATTTAAACTTCCTGTAGAAACTAATTTTCGGAAGTGACTTAAAATGAAGAGCCTCGCATATTGGAAGATCAGTGTGGTCAAAACGCATTAAACGTGCAATAATCGTCCACTAGGTGGTGCAAGAGTCGATATTTTCAAAAAGTCTGGGTTGGCGATCAAATATTAACTAGGCAATGGAGCGTATATTGAGAGTATCGCGGTGGGATTAGGGCCAGATAATTCAGCCAAGCTCCTCCTCCAATTTGTGGTTTTTGAGTCTTGATGTTTTTCACACAAATGGGGGGATCTACAGTTTATACTAAGCCACCTCCGAAGGGCTAACTGCTTTTGCGAGGACATTTTATATTATATTCGAAATAAAATTAATTTTCCATAACTTTTGGATGTTGGTGTCACCGGGATATGAACCAGAGCCTTCCGAATGCTAGTGCGCAATGTTAACTACTCGGCTATCGCGGCCGCTCAAAAGTTCAAAAGCGAATTTCTGGCATAAATTAAAAAGCTCCTCATAATTCTTTATCACCAATTCAGAAGTGACGTAAAGTGGTAGGCTACTCCATTTCCAGAAGAGATAAGAATCCGTACACCCCAAGAGGACCTAGCCATAGAGTATTCCATGCCCAAGGTGTTGACAACTCTATGTATTTATATACGACCGAAGCTCTGTTGAACTACTCTAACTCTTAGGTCGTTGAATTAAATTCGTTGTTTTCTTAGCAAATGGAAATGGATTGATATTTGTCCCCTTGTCCGCATCTTTGATTGAACGTTCAATAACTCTGTGCTGCCAGGTAAAATCGACAACCTGTCCGCTATAAGTCGACATATTTTTTACTTATTTCGCAGTCTTTCGCTTGTTCCTAAAGACGCTCTCCAAGGCCATTTCATAGACTGTCTTATTGCCTCGATGCCAAATGAGATATTTTATCTCCGCCAGAAGTTTACACACCTCCTTTCAAAGCCTATAGACTTAGGCTAGGCCAGAACAGGGAGAACTGTAAAGTATCTGCCAATATTTTTCTGTGACACCTTTGTCAGATGAGAATTCTATTAAATGTACGTTCCGCGTACGTTTGCCTGACTTCACCCGGCTCTTTTTTACTTCCTTCCAGTTCTGGTGCTTCAATTCAGCAAAACGACGATCAGAGGTTTCACATCATCGACATTTCTGTGGGTTAAAAGTTCTTCCAAAATATTATTCCCCTCACAAGTTTAATCTGAGTTGCCACACAACATTTTTTGATCCGAAAAGCTTCTGGGACATCCATTAAATACTCTTTATTTTTATTCAAGGATATATTCTCCAGATAGACTCAAATTGATATGAAAGGAAAAGAGAAAAATATAAGGCACACTGGTTTTGTAATTCTTATAGAAAAAACTGAGAGGAGCAGGAAAAGACAGGCAGATTAAAAGAATATAGATCAATTCTGAGTAAATATAATAAATTAAGGGTCCACGCTAGTATGATTGATAATAGAAAAAACTTAATTAAAATAAAGGTAAGAAATTAGAATTATTCACTACCGTTTTCTTCTCTTTAACGAAAAACGATGGGTATCTCAGATTTTTGTATGAAAGCCCTTCGGTCTTACTTAGCATACTGATATCAGTGAGAGTTTGTTGCGCTTTGCTAAAAAACTCACGCGAAAGCTTTTACTCTGATAAAATGGTGTGGCAAAAATACAGCGCGACTGAGGAGAGCTGAAAGCGCTGAATTTGATTTTTTATTCAAAATAAGTGATTTAAATTAATTAACTTATCTACCAACAACTCTAATATATTCACACAGCCAAATGAGGGAAGGATCTTAGTATCCTCCTATCTCTCGCGATTTTTCATCCCAAACATTGCTAAATACAAAATTATTTGAAGAGACCGACAATTTTAAATTGCCTCCGAAATTGCCCGATGGATTTTTATGAGAAAATATTGATATTTTCAGCAAAGGGGCGACCACATTTTGAAGAAAACTTTTTCTTTAATTTTGGGTATTGATTTGGCCATGTCTAGTAGATAAACACAAAGGCGAAACATATTGAAGAATTAAAAAGAAGAACTTTGCCACCCAGCCCAGCCGCAGTCACACATTAATTTTCACTGAGGCAATCCTCTTTCGAAGTTGGTGTTTTTGGCAGCCGCTGCGTCCACTATTCGCTCGTCATAATCGCCCAGCGGGGTCAGCAATTAGATCAACCAGGCATGGGTTTCGCTTCCTAAGAGACCTTTATTTCTGACAAGACGGCGGTACTTGCCATTCGGCCAATGAAATAATCTCGCGCCGTGGGCTGAACTCACTTCTTGTTAACAACCACATGACTGAAAAAACACCCTTTAGATGTTTCAGTTGCTTTTTAGGTGCTTAAATTTGGCATAGGATTATTTCAAACAATAAATTCTCTTGGGTACAAGATACACAACCACATTCCGTTTTACTTGTTTGCACCTCAGATTTTCGGCAAACTCAACCATGCTTATTTATGGATGATGATCAACTATCTACATACATACATACGTACCGAAATATACATATATGATAAAGATAAGATGAAATATATAAAAGCAGACGACCAACTTCTTTTTGCCTCAGTATTTGCGATCGAATCGGGTGGAAGTGGCCACACACATCTCACATAAAAGAAAAGAAAGTTAAAAAAGATAAAATGATTCCGCTTATTCACAGACTAAGCGCTGTCCTTCTTTTGGTGTGTCTTGGGCTAGCGCACGACGTAGAAGGTAACCAATCAAGCAGCAAATCTTGTTTAAATTTTTTAATTCCAAAAATTTCAGTCGACATACATGTGCCGGCAATGTTCTCGACCAGCAGAATCGCCGGTGCGAACGCCTTTGGCATGCCACTAACCAATGATGAAGTGCCTGAGTCAGAACTGGATCCCAATTTTTGGCGCCGCTCGGCCAATGAAGAGCTGCAGAAGCATCTCCAAAACAAATTAAACACCAACAAAGCTAAGAATGTCATCTTCTTCCTTGGCGATGGTATGTCGTTGACGACAGTTGCTGCGGCGCGTATACTCAAAGGCCAGCGTCAAGGAAATCCAGGCGAGGAGTCCCAACTGAGCTTCGAGAAGTTCCCATACACCGGTTTGAGCAGGGTGAGCTTATAGCGCACATTGTATAATTACAATGGCTTCATATAATAGCTTCACTCCTTAGACCTACTGTACGAATGCCCAAGTAGCCGATTCTGCCTGCACTTCCACCGCATACCTCACGGGCGTTAAGACAAATATACTCTTTTTGGGCGTTACCCCAAACGTTGAGTTCAATGACTGCGAGGCATCCATGGACCCCGCCAATGATCTTACATCACTTTACGATTGGGCTCAGGCTGCTGGCAAATCCACTGGTTTCATCACCACAACCACACTTACTCACGCAAGTCCGACTGGCGGTTATGCGCACGTCTCGAACCGTATGTGGGAGTGTGATACGGATGTACGCACATATCTACAAGATAGCTACACAACAGATTGCAAAGACATTGCCACACAGTTGATCACCGAAGAGCCTGGACGCAAATTGGATTTCATTATGGGCGGTGGAGCGGGAAAGTTCTTGCCAAAAACAATGATTGATCCATTCGGCAACCCCGGTGAGCGATCAGATGGTAAGAATTTACTCTCAGAGTGGCAACGCAGACATCCCGGCGGCCTCTTCGTTAGCAGCCGCAAACAAATGGAGGCAATCAACCTAAAACAGACCACCAGCGTTATGGGTATTTTCCAATCGAAACTAATGAATTTCCATCAACATGCCACCGAGAGTGAGCCCACTTTATCTGAAATGACCGAAACTGGCATTAAGTTTTTGAGCAAGAACGATGATGGGTTCTTCATTTTCATTGAGGGTGGTCTAATTGATTATGGTAATCACTACAATAAACCCGGGCTCAGCTTGGATGAAACCTTGGAATTTGAGAAGGCCATCGCTTTGGCACGCAACCTTACCGATCCTGAAGACACACTCATCGTCGTCACCGCTGATCATGCGCATCCACTCAGCATCTCCGGTTATCCCGAGCGTGGCAATGACATTCTGGGTTTGAATAATGTCGGCGTTGACGCTAATGGCGTACCGTATTCTACGCTCAACTACGCTGTAGGGCCTGAGCAATATTTAGATGAGCAGGGCAATCGTTTGGATTTGCAGGGTCAATTTGGTGGCAGCCCCGGTATTTTTGAATTAAATTTGATGACTGAAGATTTAAGCTCATTTCTACACATATTTTTTTATAGATTTCGTCTTTCCCAGTTACATCAAATCCTCAATTGGTAACCATGCCGGCGACGACGTGGGCGTATATGCCTCTGGCCCACACGCTCATCTCTTCACCGGTCTCTTGCAGCAGAACACTCTGCCTCATCTAATGGCCTACGCAGCTTGTATTGGTGACGGTGCTAAGTGTTGTGATTGAAATGATCAAGCCGTCTCCTTAAACGCTACGCCATGGGCTCGTCCCTCGAAACCCTCGAAGCCCCTCGAAATACCGTCCAAATATGAATTTCGTATAAAAGATATTTTTTCTTATTTTCTTAAATAATAGAGAAAATAAATTTTAATTACTTATACAGTAAGAAATAAAGTTTCTTTAAATTTGTATAACTAAGAGGTACTGTTATCTACCATTTTTATAACAGCTTTTCTTGTATGTACTCTTGGCTTAAAGTTAGAAATGTTGGGTGGCAGCCGGCAGCCTCTTTTTTTACTGTGAACAGACGTGGACGATTTTAGCTACAAAAAAAAGAATTATCGTAACTCACGTGCTAGGTGATAATCTTCTCACCAGATTTGTTGTCTAAATTCACTAAAATTAAATCCGAAAAAAAGAATAAGTAAATAAGATAAAGTCAACAACTTGGGCAAAGGTGGCTTTTTATTGTGAAGCATTTGAGAAGCGATAAAAAGAACTGAAGGCATACAAAATACACGTGAGTAAGATGCAGAAAATGGACTCAATCTTCCCGCTTAAGCAAAACTAATTTGCTGACCAATTTTTAAAAAAAAAAAAACCTCTATGCATCAAAGAAAATTCACCAGCAACCAAATGGAAAACTCGATATCGAGAGACTTTTATCATAACAGACAGTTAGACGCTTGTCTACTCGGTTTGCACTCCTGCTTTCCGACGCTAGCAAAATAATTTTTTTCTGACATTGCCGAAGAGCTGGTGCGATAAGCCTTGTTGAACTACAGTGGGGAGAAAAATACTGGCTGTCTTGCAATGTTATGATCGGCCGCAACGCACGCTATGTGAGAGATATGCCGAAATTTGAAGTAAGAATCGAGACGCATATGGAAACAGAAAGAGAGAGAGGCCGATAGCCGAAGAAATAGCGACGAAAAAATGGCAATATGCATGATTGACTTTGTAGAGATATCGTCGACATTCGGAACCTTAGTGTGCCCGGCCCAATCTAGAAAAGGGGTAGATTATGCCAATCATTCTGTAATAAGCCACCTAAATAAAGCATTAGAGCAATTACACTGGTTCGGTGTACTGTGCTTAACTGTAACGCTTGAAAAGTTACTTGACCTTCCTCCAAACGACAATGCATTGAAGAGCACTAGAATCCTTCCGCCCAGTTCAATATGCAGAAGGATGGAAAACAAATTAGATTGCGGTTTCCCATGCTTTAATTGCGATGGAGGGAGGACTGGTGGCGGCAATGCTGACGATCCGACAGTGAAAGATATAATATCTACTCGGATGAATCAAAAATGGCGGATGAAGTGAATGCTAGAGGCTCTCTTCAAGCCTCCAGAGGTTTTTGGTAGGACTGTTTGAATAATATCAGCATTTACATCTGCAATCAGACGGCAATTAAAGCGATAATCTCACATTGTATTGAGACAGAAAATGTCCTTCGAAGAACGTAAGCAGTAGGCTGCTCGTTCGAGGGGAATATGCTACATATATATTGGGATCCAGGTCACAAAGGCTAAAAGTGACTATCTAAAGAAATTTCCAAATGTGCTGGGAGCCGGATCAGCGTTAGATGGTATGCCTTAACGGCATGAAAGATAGCCAAAATAATGTGCAATGGAAGGCAGAACTGCAGGACATCTCATGCAGATTGGGCATAAAAAGTCTGAAATAAGCTTTAGAGTTCGACACTAAGGCTGATTTGATTTTCGCGGAAGGCGGCAACTACTTTAGTTAGCAATAAAGCGAAAGGACCAACGGGTCTATTTAAGAGGTTACATCTAGTTAAGAGGAGGAAGTGGAAACTTTTAGCTTTAACGCTAACTTGCATAATCTGTGTAATAAATATAATAACTTCGAACAATTCTACAAACAAAAGTGTTCATGCCAACGCGATTGAGCTGTAAAAGTAAAAAATTTGAATGTGTGTTGGCAATAAAACCTCCTCTTACACTTCATGTGTCCACATACCCATAAGTCGAAGCTAATGCTCGTTTACGGATAAGAGAAAGCCAGTGAAATAAATAACATACGATCAACTTATGAAGCCAAAGATTATATTTCGCTACCGAATCGTGTTACCAACGGGATATATATGTACGAGGTGTGTTCAAAAAATATCTCGAATTTTGTGTTTTTTCAAAAATTATTTATTTATTCATTAATATCTATTTTGTCCCCTTCAAAGTAATCCCCATGAGATATTATATCTTCGAAGCACTTCAAAAACTCATTTTTTTTATCTTGTTCAGCTCCTCCTTCGATGCCGTCTTTATCTCGTCAATCGTAGCGTAACGTCGTCCTTTCATGGGCCTCTTCAGTTTAGGTCACAGGGGGGCCAGATCTGGGGAATACGGTGGCTGCGGCATCATTAGTGTGTTGTTTTTGACCAAAAAGTCGCGCACAAGCAACGATGTGTGAGCAGGGGCGTTATCGTGGTGCAAAAGCCAATTTTTGTTCTTTCACAAATCCGGGCGTTTCTGGCAGATTGCGCATAACTAGCAGGTTATATTCCTTATTGACCGTTCTACCCTGTGGCAATAACTCGTGATGTAAAAATCGAGGACCATCGAAAGCAAGCGTGCAAGCAAATCAGCTGTCAACAATTAAGTGAATATTCAAAATGGCCGAGCTTGTCGGAATTAGTGACAGACATGAGTACCAACATAACACCACAAAAAAATCAAAATTCGATTATACGTAACCCGCGAAAATTCAAAATTCGTGATACTTTTTGAACATACCTCGTAAGTACTTTTTAATCTTAGCATAAAATCATCTGCGAGCGAAAACTTTAAAGAAGTGCAAACGAAATGAAAGCGATAAGTTCTCAATAGTATTTATTAACAATTTAAATGTGCAAATCTCATTCATTGAAAATCACTCGTGCGATTTGCATAAGTATGTGAGCACTGCATTATTCTGTGGCAAAAAACATATACTAAAATACACACATACGCACACTTTATGCTCAACCAGGGAATTGACCAACAACGCCAAGCATTCGCACACACACATGCATATGCGTTTCTCAACTATGCATGCCATGCCATGCATGTTGGTTGGACAGCTTTGCAAGCACATTCATTCCATGCCCATTTGTGTGCTTGTGTGTTTGGTATGTATGCCATTCAAAATGCAATAGTGTGACTTTTAGCACTTTGGTTTTTATTTTTTCCGTTTTTTTTTACTTTTTTTTCTATTTTTTTTACTTTTTTTTTGCATTTTTTGCATTTTTTTAGTTTTCTGATTTGCATTCGCGCGTCATTTCGCACCCCTGTTTAGCCATTTCGTTCGCTTACTCTACACATACACAAACACAAACAAAACTACTTGGCATGCAAACGTCCAGTCGACTTTTCAGCAAACCGTCAGCGTCGTTATCATAGCTGAGGTGAGGCAAAGTGGCCAACGCCATAACAAAAATATTTGCATAAATCACAATTTTTATGAGCATTTAATTCACTCACACGGGCGAGGCAACACGGAAGAGAAAAAGTGAGTGAGAGAGAGAGAGAGAGGTGGAGAGAAAGAATAAAGTAACTTTCCTTGTGCAAAGTTGAAATTTAGTTCACGCATAAATAAATTTAGAAAAAATCTGCGGAAATAAAAATTTATGAAAATTAAGAGAGCGAATAATTTTTAGAGTCACTTGAAGGAAAATTGATAAAAAAAAAACTAAGTTATAAAAGTGAAATAATTATTTGATCCGAATGCCATCCGTATTCGCGTGCCGGCGGAGTCGTTCAGCTTCAGCGCCAAGAGTTTCACAGCTCTTTTTTTAGTCGCTGCAGTAAATGTGATAGGCATAGTTGCTCTAACGGTTTCAGCCCTCTCTATGAAACATGCTTTAGATAAAAAGGTTGCATTATTTGTATGGTGAAAAGGCCTTAAAAGAAACTCAGTGAGGAAGTTGGTTTGGCAAATTCCATTCCGGAGACTTTTCATCAATTCTACAGCTCCGGCAACATCTGCTATTAGAAGCTTGTAATATCTCTGCATGTCGCCCTTTCAGACAAATTTGCGGCGAATAAGAATAATGTAGATTCTTTTCCATCTGATTCTTCCAACGGAAAAAAGATCTTCCTCTTCATCTACTCCCATCAGTGGATACCACCGTATTAAGCACTTTCGAAGCTGCAGTATTTTTATTCCATCGGACGACATGATCATGACCTATATTCAATGAACACTGCGTATTCCTAAAATTCCATAAGTCATCTGCAATAGAAATCTTTCCCCGCAAAGTTCTAATGCCAACTACGTTAACCTCGCTTAGGAACAGGTTTAAAATCAATCTCAGTCACCGTGGTCATCTAACGCGCGGTCCAGGAAAAGTGCTGTTTCGACGGGATTCGACCAGAGGGCGAGGGGGTTATATGCGTCGGCTTAGGGGGACATTTTAAGATGTGGCGGCCAATGGCTGTTACCTTTCGGCGACCTTACCCCATTTAGGTTAACAAGTAACCGATCCACTCTCGCAATCATCGTATCATCAAGTTCAGTGGAAGGATATTAGGTTTTGACTTTGGTATACTTCTAAACACCGCTTCGCCTTCCAACATATTCTCAATAATCACTTCATTCCCTTGTTTAAGGTCGCACCTTAAAATTTAACTATAGTTCACTGCTTTAATGAATAGTACAAATTCCACATCAATTGATTGAACGCTGAGTACACATAGGCCCGAAAATATATGAAGGGTCCAAGGCACTAAGACGCAGACGAAAGTTTTTCTTGATGATTGGTATGTTGTTTATTTCGGAATGGAGCCTGATCGATAGTCCGAGAGAGAAACTATGCTAGAGTCCTCTCCAATGCTTTTGGTATGAATGATAATAGAATCCTGAGACTTAAGATTCTTGCAGAGTGTCCTTGCTACTTTTCTGATCTCCTGCATGCAGTCTAACCCATGATTACCTCGTTATGATTTGCATACATGTTCAGACGTGTGTAAGTTTGTATCAATTCATAAATACTCATATTTGCT